GCCTGGACCTGCCTCCCCTCCCCGGGTGCCTCCCCGGGAGCCCCTGTCCCCTCAAAGCTCAAGGACCCCCAGTCCCCTGGTGCCCCGTGGCAGCTCCCCGCTGCCACCCCGGCTCTCGAGTTCACCTGGGAAGACCATGCCCACCACCCAGAGCTTTGCCTCAGACCCCAAGTACGCCACACCCCAGGTGATCCAGGCACCTGGTCCTCGGGCTGGTCCCTGCATCCTGCCCATCGTCCGCGACGGCAAGAAGGTCAGCAATACCCACTACTACCTGCTGCCTGAGCGCCCGCCCTACCTGGAGCGCTACCAGCGCTTCTTGCGTGAGGCACAGAGCCCCGAAGAACCCACCCCCTTGCCTGTGCCCCTGCTGCCCCCACCCAGCACTCCAGCCCCTGCCGCCCCCACTGCCACTGTTCGGCCCATGCCCCAGGCTGCTCCAGATCCCAAGGCCAACTTCTCCACCAACAACAGCAATCCAGGGGTCCGGCCGCCAGCCCTGAGGGCCACCGCTTGGCTGTCACAGAGGGGCTGCCCAGGGGACGGGCCAGAGGCTGTACGGCCAACAGATAAGATCCAGATGGTGAGTATCAGGCCTGGCTGTTGGGTGAGGGGGGCAGGAGTCAGAGGGGCCCAGAGGAATGGGCCCAACTGGTGCTGACCGGTGGGTGGGTATGCCCAGCTGCAGGCCATGGTGCATGGGGTGACCACAGAGGAGTGCCAGGCGGCCCTGCAGAGCCACAGCTGGAACGTGCAAAGGGCTGCCCAGTATCTGAAGGTACCACCACCTCCTGCCCACTCTGGTTTTCAGGGCCCTGAAGCCTGGCTCTGCTGCTCTCTCCCACTCCCTGCCCCCTCTGGTTCTCCTCTGCCCCCACCCTGGTCTGGTTCCCCTTGGCCCCGTGTGTCCCACGCACCACCCTCTGCCCTCAGGTGGAGCAGCTTTTTGGGTTGGGTCTGCGGCCGCGAGGCGAGTGCCACAAAGTGCTGGAGATGTTCGACTGGAACCTAGAGCAAGCCGGCTGCCACCTTCTGGGCTCCTGTGGCCCTGCCCACCACAAGTGAGTGAGCCCCGTACCCTGTCACCTTCCTGTTCCCCGAGGGTGTCCACAGCCACACACAGCCAGGAGACACGGGCTCCCCAGCTGGGGGGAGGGAAGTTGGGCCCAATCCCAGGACGCAGGGAGTTCG